CCCGATCTACCGGTTCCATATATCGTCCTCTCTCTTACGATTCTATTATTTTCTGTTATAATTAATTCGCCGCCGGGCGATTCGTCGCAATGATATAATCCAACCATGTCATTGCGACGAATTGTCCATACCAGAGTTGTAACCGGTAGGGTTTTTTTCTTGCCGAAACCGGTCAGACCGGACCGGACCGGCCGGTATACTGGCATGAGTCATTCTTTGTTTTTCTGACCTATAACAGCCAAATCAACCCCCCCATTAATCATATCTACGTCCTTTAGCGCTTTCTACTATTTATTTCTGGCATTCTTTACAATCTATGGGCGTCGCTGACATCCCGGTCTTTCTTCCGAATACCTTCGCGAACGTTGACTCCAGCATTGCACCATTTTATGTTGATGCTTATCCACGATTTCAATCTTCAAGCAGACAAGAACACTTCGACCCACAATCAGAAGAGCTGCGAAAATTTTCTGTAGAGGATAGGGTGGAGCTGCAACAGCAAGAAATCGAATCGCAACACCAACAAGACCAAGACGACTTTGATCGAATGATGGAAGAAGACCTTCAGAAACAGGTCGAGCAATTGGAAATGATGGGACAGCAGCATCAATCACAGTTGAATGATTTTGAAATGCAGCAACAATGGGTGCAGATGGCAGAGGAACATGATGTATTCGAGTATTTGAGACAGACCGAGCTCATAGAGCAAAAAAAAACCAGGGGCCATAAAGTGACATGTGGTTGTTTGCTGTGATGTAATTTAGCTCATTCAAACTGATACATATACTCATTGTACTTATCGTATTTTTTCGTACTATTGTGTTTCTCTTTTCAGATATATCTATTCACAAAACCGTAGATTTATTTCCACAATGAATGTATACTACGATTTACTATGTGACAGTCAACTACCCGATAATCAAGGTTACTGGTGGAGTCAACTTTTCGCGAATCAAGTGCGTGCCGGTCAAGTACTACCACCACCACAACAACAACAAGAACCAAAAAAGAAAAGTCGTGGTCAACACAAATTACAGCGATATCGAAAGAAGTTCCGTCGACAAGGCTTGGATGAAGATACCATCAACAAACGGATAAGTGACATATCTGTTGACTACCAATGAACAAGTCCACTTTGCTCGTCAATGTGCTATGTTAGTCAATCGAATGCTCTATGTTCGAATGCAACAAGAACTATGGCAAGCGTACCACGATATGGGCATGGCCGAAGGTGTTTGGGCTCCACGACTATCGAAAAAAGTGGCCAGAGAGCATAATATGTGTTGCACCTATGGTTGATCACAGAAATTCGTTGAACAACGTCGAAAAACGATTGAAGCTCAACAAGTGAAAGTGGTGAACCAATTGAACGAACATCTCATGCAACGATTCACTTGTTGGCCTCTATTGGATAACAATACAATTGCTGTCGACATCAGTGCCTTATCGGAAGCAATTATTGACTTGGTCATGAAAGATCAAAAGCGATTGCGAGCAGAATTCGAACGCAAACAGGTTTTGTTGAATTTGGATGCCAATGATCGTCGATTAGTGGAATCATTCTGTACAGTACCGGTGAATAAAGGACAGGTTAGAATTGATGAAAAATAGCATTTTTAAAAATTGAATCTCGCATTTCTGCCTTAGATTTGTTCCGCAAAATTGATTTGGCAAGCAAGAGCCGATGAACAGAGAGTCGAAGGTGAATAGCTATTCTTCGACAGCAAGTGTACCTTCAACGGCTACCACAATCTTTCGATTGTCTCATTCATCATTCTGTCGATGATATCGATGCAATGCTCTCTGAATCGGTGCTGGGCAACAATAAACGTGCTAGTTTGTCGTCCCGTTGTTCCAAAATGGTTGCAGGATACAAATACGACATTATGGCTATGAAGATTCTCACGAAAGAAGAAACAGCTCGAGCTCATGCTAAACGAGCCATCGACGAAAAGAAAAAGTTACTCGAAAGTGATGGACAAGATCCATTGATAACGGCACAAATGATCCATATCATTGAAGAACGGGCATTGAATATGGTCAAACGTGCTCAACAAATTCATCAACGACAAATCGACTCTTTTTTCGTCGACGCTCCGACGGTAGTTATCAACGACCTTCCTGCTGTCGTCAACACTGTCGGAGCCAACTTCTAAATACCAATATTGTTGCTTCATCACCATTTATTGAAGCCGATTTACATTTATCACCACTGAAAATGTCTCTACTATTCAACGGCTTGAAATATGTCACACCTTGTCAAAGTCGCTTCAATAACCAACCAATGTGTGATTTCATCGATGCCCAATTCAAAACATTGTTCACGACTATCAGAGATTGGCTGAACGATAATCATACATCCGCATCAGATCATCGAGCAGGCTTAGCATTTGCGGAACTGAAAACGATTCTTCATCGGCTGTACTTATCACGGTTACCTCGAAACCTAGCGAAGCGTGCTCGAAAAGAATACAAAACGATGAACATATTCAATATCAATTGCGTAAGAATCCACATGTTTTAACCCTTTCGCTACGACTTTAATTTTTCAGATACAATTTTACACAAAACGTTTCAAATATTGAAACACATGTTTATTTATTCTTAAAAGTTTTGTAGAGTATGAAAATCTTTGAAACAATCAACAAGACATAAACCTACATCACACTCTGTGCACTGATAACGTGAGAGTACATCTTTTCTTTTCGGACGTCTGACAGTGTTGCTGCAGACGACACATTTTCTCCTAGGTGCTGACTGTGTGTCTGTGGCTGGAATCGGCG